GAGCAGTAACAGTGACATAGAAAGGGTAGTAGATACCTGGAATAGCCTTCCAGTGGGAGCAGTAACAGTGATATAGAAAGGGTAGTAGATACCTGGAATAGCCTTTCAGTGGGATCAGTAACATTGATATAGAAAGGGTATTAGATACCTGGAATAGCCTTCCAGTGGGAGCAGTAAAAGTGATATAGAAAGGGTAGTAGATACCTGGAATAGCCTTCCAGTAGGAGCAGTAACAGTGACATAGAAAGGGTAGTAGATACCTGGAATAGCCTTCCAGTGAAAGCAGTAACAGTGATATAGAAAGGGTAGTAGATACCTGGAATAACCTTCCAGTGGGAGCAGTAACAGTGATATAGAAAGGGTAGTAGATACTTGCAATAGCCTTCCAGTGGGAGCGGTAACAGTGATACAGAAAGGGTAGTAGATACCTGGAATAGTTGTCCAATGGGAGCAGTAACAGTGATATAGAAAGGGTAGGAGATACCTGGAACCTTCCAGTGAGCAATAACAATTGATATAGAAGGGTAGTAGATACTGGGACAACCTTCCAGTGGGAGCAGTAACAGTGATATAGAAAGGGTAGTAGATACCTGGAATAGCCTTCCAGTGAGAGCAGTAACAGTGATATAGAAAGGGTAATAGATACCTGGAATAGCCTTTCAGTGGGAGCATTAACAGTGATATAGAAAGGGTAGTAGATACCTGGAATAGCCTTCCAGTGGGAGCAGTAACTGTGATATAGAAAGGGTAGTAGATACCTGGAATAGCCTTTCAGTGGGAGCAGTAACAGTGATATAGAAAGGGTAGTAGATACCTGGAATAGCCTTCCAGTGGGATCAGTAACAGTGATATAGAAAGGGTAGTAGATACCTGGAATAGCCTTCCAGTGGGAGCATTAACAGTGATATAGAAAGGGTAGTAGATACCTGGAATAGCCTTCCAGTGGGAGCAGTAACAGTGATATAGAAAGGGTAGTAGATACCTGGAATAGCCTTCCAGTGGGGGCAGTAACAGTGATATAGAAAGGGTAGTAGATACCTGGAATGGCCTTCCAGTGGGGGCAGTAACAGTGATATAAAAAGGGTAGTAGATACCTGGAATAGCCTTCCAGTGGGAGCAATAACAGTGATATAGAAAGGGTAGTAGATACCTGGAATAGCCTTCCAGCGGGAGCAGTAACAGTGATATAGAAAGGGTAGTGGATACCTGGAATAGCCTACCAGTGGGAGCAGTAACAGTGATATAGAAAGGGTAGTAGATACCTGGAATAGCCTTCCAGTGGGAGCAGTAACAGTGATATAGAAAGGGTAGTAGATACCTGGAATAGCCTTTCAGAGGGAGCAGTAACAGTGATATAGAAAGGGTAGTAGATACCTGGAATAGCCTTTCAGAGGGAGCAGTAACAGTGATATAGAAAGGGTAGTAGATACCTGGAATAGCCTTCCAGTGGGAGCAGTAACAGTGAAATAGAAAGGGTAGTAGATACCTGGAATAGCCTTCCAGTGGGAGCAGTAACAGTGATATAGAAAGGGTAGTAGATACCAGGAAAAGCCTGCAGTGGGAGCAATAACAGTGATATAGAAAGGGTAGTAGATACATGGAATAACCTTCCAGTGGGAGCAGTAACAGTGATATAGAAAGGGTAGTAGATACCTGGAATAGCCTTCCAGTGGGAGCAGTAACAGTGATATAGAAAGGGCAGTAGATACCTGGAATAGCCTTCCAGTGAGAGCAGTAACAGTGATATAGAAAGGGTAGTAGATACCTGGAATAGCCTTCCAGTGGGAGCAGTAACTGATATAGAAAGGGTAGTAGATACCTGGAATAGCCATCCAGTGGAAGCAGTAACAGTGATATAGAAAGGGTAGTAGATACCTGGAATAGCCTTCTAGAGGAAGCAGCAAATGCTTTCAGTGAAATAGAAAGGGTAGTAGATACCTGGAATAGCCTTCCATTGGGAGCAGTAACAGTGATATAGAAAGGGTAGTAGATACCTGGAATAGCCTTCCAGCGGAAGCAGCAAATGCTAACAGTGAAATAGAAAGGGTAGTAGATACCTGGAATAGCCTTCCAGTGGAAACAGTAACTGTGATATAGAAAGGGTAGTAGATACCTGGAATAGCCTTCCAGTGGGAGCAGTAACAGTGATATAGAAAGGGCAGTAGATACCTGGAATAGCCTTCCAGTTGTAGCAGTAACAGTGATATAGAAAGGGTAGTACATACCTGGAATAGCCTTCCAGTGAGAGCAGTAACAGTGACATAGAAAAGGTATTAGATACATGGAATAGCCTTCCAGTGTGAGCAGTAACAGTGATACAGCGCTACGGAATTTGTTGGCGCTATATAAATAATAAAATAATAATAATAATAATAATATAGAAAGGGTAGTAGATACCTGGAATAGCCTTCCAGTGGGAGCAGTAACAGTGATATAGAAAGGGTAGTAGATACCTGGAATAGCCTTCCAGTGGGAGCAGTAACAGTGATATAGAAAGGGTAGTAGATACCCGGAATAGCCTTACAGTGGGAGCAGTAACAGTGATATAGAAAGGGTAGTAGATACATGGAATAGCCTTACAGTGGGAGCAGTAACAGTGATATAGAAAGGGTAGTAGATACCTGGAATAGCCTTCCAGTGGGAGCAGTAACAGTGATATAGAAATGGTAGTAGATACCTGGAATAGCCTTCCAGTGAGAGCAGTGACAGTGTATTAGAAAGGGTAGTAGATACCTGGAATAGCCTTCCAGTGGGAGCAGTAACAGTGATATAGAAAGGGTAGTAGATACTTGGAATAGCCTTCCAGTGGGAGCAGTAACAGTGATATAGAAAGGGTAGTAGATACCTGGAATAGCCTTCCAGTGGGAGCAGTAACAGTGATATAGAAATGGTAGTAGATACCTTAAATAGCCTTCCAGTGGGAGCAGTAACAGTGATATAGAAAGGGTAGTAGATACCTTGAATAGCCTTCCTGTGGGAGCAGTAACAGTGATATAGAAAGGGTAGTAGATACCTGGAATAGCCCTCCAGTGGGAGCGGTAACAGTGATATAGAAAGGGTAGTAGATACCTGGAATAGCCCTCCAGTGGGAGCAGTAACAGTGATATAGAAAGGGTAGTAGATACCTGGAATAGCCTTCCAGTGGGAGCAGTAACAGTGATATAGAAAGGGTAGTAGATACCTGAAATAGCCTTCCAGTGGAAGCAGTAACAGTGATATAGAAAGGGTAGTAGATACCTGGAATAGCCTTCCAGTGAGAGCAGTAACAGTGATATAGAAAGGGTAGTAGATACCTGGAATAGCCTTCCAGTGGGAGCAGTAACAGTGATATAGAAAGGGTAGTAGATACCTGGAATAGCCTTCCAGTGGGAGCAGTAACAGTGATATAGAAAGGGTAGTAGATACCTGGAATAGCCTCCCAGTGGGAGCAGTAACAGTGATACAGAAATGGTAGTAGATACCTGGAATAGCCTTCCAGTGGGAGCAGTAACAGTGATATAGAACGGGTAGTAGATACCTGGAATAGCCTCCCAGTGGGAGCAGTAACAGTGATATAGAAAGGGTAGTAGATACCTGGAATAGCCTTCCAGTGGGAGCAGTAACAGTGATATACAAAGGGTAGTAGATACCTGGAATAGCCTTCCAGTGGGAGCAGTAACAGTGATATAGAAAGGGTAGTAGATACCTGGAATAGCCTTCCAGTGGGAGTGGTAAAGGCTAACAGTGATATTTTTGGCCAAAATCCCTCTGTCCCTGTTTTCTTGAAGCTCCATATTGTTGGTGTGTCTAAGTGTTTAATACTCCCAGTAATGTGTCTGAGTGTATAACAGAGCTCCACAGCAATAATACTCCCAGTAATGTGTCTGAGTGTATAACAGAACTCCACAGCAATAATACTCCCAGTAATGTGTCTGAGTGTATAACAGAGCTCCACAGAAATCATACTCCCAGTGATGTGTCTGAGTGTATAACAGAGTCACAAAGCAATAATACTCACAGTAATGTGTGAGTGTATAACAGAGCTCCACATTAATAATGCTCCCAGTAATGTGTCTGAGTGTATAACAGAGCTCCACAGCAATAATACTCCCAGTAATGTGTCTGAGTGTATAACAGAGCTCCACAGCAATTATACTCCCAGTAATGTGTCTGAGTGTATCACAGAGCCCCACAGCAATCATACTCCCAGTAATGTGTCTGAGTGTATAACAGAGCTCCACAGCAATAATACTCCCAGTAATGTGTCTGAGTGTATAACAGAGCTCCACAGCAATAATACTCCCAGTAATGTGTCTGAGTGTATAACAGAGCTCCACAGCAATCATACTCCCAGTAATGTGTCTGAGTGTATAACAGAGCTCCACAGCAATCATACTCCCAGTAATGTGTCTGAGTGTATAACAGAGCTCCACAGCAATAATACTCCCAGTAATGTGTCTGTGTGTATAACAGAACTCCACAGCAATCATACTCCCAGCGATGTGTCTTTAAACTACAATAAATGTGTTTAGAAATCAGTCAGTGTAAAAATGATACATTGTTCTTCTTCTAAATTACATTTTAGTTGGATAAATTATTATTATTTTTTTATTTTTAGTAAGCCGCTGGTCACACTCTTTGTAACACCCCATGGTCCCTCTATATAAAATTTTGGGAGGCGTGCAGTCTGTCAACGCTGTTTAAATTCTATCATATCAATACAGATGTGTCATAAATTGGCCTTTTACAGACTGTATTGATTCCGTGGCAGTCTAACTCTAATCTCCCACCATAAACCTTAAATAGTAGATAGCAAGCTCTTGGGAACATTGTCTGTGCATCTGATACAGATCTATGGAATCTCTCAATTCTCCCACATCATCTTGCAATCCATTTTAGTGAAGCCTGTTTACCTGCCCCAGCAGGTTCCTTGTGGCAGAAGGTCTGACTCAGGGGCCCGAATCATTTTGTCATAGTGATGAATTCTCTGTGTTCTCCCCCAGAATCCAATATGGCTTATACTACGTCAATCTGCACCAAATAATCCAATATGGTTTATATTGCGTCAAACTATCCCAAATAATCCGATATGGTTTATACTGCGTCAAACTATCCCAAATAATCCGATATGGTTTATACTGCGTCAAACTATCCCAAATAATCCGATATGGTTTATACTGCGTCAGACTATCCCAAATAATCCGATATGGTTTATACTGCGTCAGACTATCCCAAATAATCCGATATGGTTTATACTGCGTCAGACTATCCCAAATAATCCAAATAATCCGATATGGTTTATACTGCGTCAAACTGCACCAAATAATCCGATATGGTTTATACTGCGTCAAACTGCACCAAATAATCCGATATGGTTTATACTGCATCAAACTATCCCAAATAATCCGATATGGTTTATACTGCGTCAAACTACCCCAAATAATCCGATATGGTTTATACTGTGTCAAACTGCATCAAATAATCCGATATGGTTTATACTGCATCAAACTATCCCAAATAATCCGATATGGTTTATACTGCGTCAAACTACCCCAAATAATCCGATATGGTTTATACTGCGTCAAACTATCCCAAATAATCCGATATGGTTTATACTGCATCAGACTATCCCAAATAATCCAATATGGTTTATACTGCGTCAAACTGCACCAAATAATCCGATATGGTTTATACTGCGTCAAACTATCCCAAATAATCCGATATGGTTTATACTGCGTCAAACTATCCCAAATTATCCGATATGGTTTATACTGCGTCAAACTATCCCAAATAATCCAATATGGTTTATACTGCGTCAGACTATCCCAAATAATCCGATATGGTTTATACTGCGTCAAACTATCCCAAATAATCCGATATGGTTTATACTGCGTCAAACTATCCCAAATAATCCGATATGGTTTATACTGCATCAAACTATCCCAAATAATCCGATATGGTTTATACTGCGTCAAACTACCCCAAATAATCCGATATGGTTTATACTGTGTCAAACTGCATCAAATAATCCGATATGGTTTATACTGCATCAAACTATCCCAAATAATCCGATATGGTTTATACTGCGTCAAACTACCCCAAATAATCCGATATGGTTTATACTGCGTCAAACTATCCCAAATAATCCGATATGGTTTATACTGCGTCAAACTATCCCAAATAATCCGATATGGTTTATACTGCGTCAAACTATCCCAAATAATCCGATATGGTTTATACTGCGTCAAACTATCCCAAATAATCCGATATGGTTTATACTGCGTCAAACTATCCCAAATAATCCGATATGGTTTATACTGCGTCAAACTATCCCAAATAATCCGATATGGTTTATACTGCGTCAAACTATCCCAAATAATCCGATATGGTTTATACTGCGTCAAACTATCCCAAATAATCCGATATGGTTTATACTGCGTCAAACTATCCCAAATAATCCGATATGGTTTATACTGCGTCAAACTATCCCAAATAATCCGATATGGTTTATACTGCGTCAAACTATCCCAAATAATCCGATATGGTTTATACTGCGTCAAACTATCCCAAATAATCCGATATGGTTTATACTGCGTCAAACTATCCCAAATAATCCGATATGGTTTATACTGCGTCAAACTATCCCAAATAATCCGATATGGTTTATACTGCGTCAGACTATCCCAAATAATCCGATATGGTTTATACTGCGTCAAACTATCCCAAATAATCCGATATGGTTTATACTGCGTCAAACTATCCCAAATAATCCGATATGGTTTATACTGCGTCAAACTATCCCAAATAATCCGATATGGTTTATACTGCGTCAGACTATCCCAAATAATCCGATATGGTTTATACTGCGTCAGACTATCCCAAATAATCCGATATGGTTTATACTGCGTCAAACTATCCCAAATAATCCGATATGGTTTATACTGCGTCAAACTATCCCAAATAATCCGATATGGTTTATACTGCGTCAAACTATCCCAAATAATCCGATATGGTTTATACTGCGTCAGACTATCCCAAATAATCCGATATGGTTTATACTGCGTCAAACTATCCCAAATAATCCGATATGGTTTATACTGCGTCAAACTATCCCAAATAATCCGATATGGTTTATACTGCGTCAAACTATCCCAAATAATCCGATATGGTTTATACTGCGTCAAACTATCCCAAATAATCCGATATGGTTTATACTGCGTCAAACTATCCCAAATAATCCGATATGGTTTATACTGCGTCAAACTATCCCAAATAATCCGATATGGTTTATACTGCGTCAAACTATCCCAAATAATCCGATATGGTTTATACTGCGTCAAACTATCCCAAATAATCCGATATGGTTTATACTGCGTCAGACTATCCCAAATAATCCGATATGGTTTATACTGCGTCAAACTATCCCAAATAATCCGATATGGTTTATACTGCGTCAAACTATCCCAAATAATCCGATATGGTTTATACTGCGTCAAACTATCCCAAATAATCCGATATGGTTTATACTGCGTCAAACTATCCCAAATAATCCGATATGGTTTATACTGCGTCAAACTATCCCAAATAATCCGATATGGTTTATACTGCGTCAGACTATCCCAAATAATCCGATATGGTTTATACTGCGTCAAACTGCACCAAATAATCCGATATGGTTTATACTGCGTCAAACTATCCCAAATAATCCGATATGGTTTATACTGCGTCAGACTATCCCAAATAATCCGATATGGTTTATACTGCGTCAAACTATCCCAAATAATCCGATATGGTTTATACTGCGTCAAACTATCCCAAATAATCCGATATGGTTTATACTGCGTCAAACTATCCCAAATAATCCGATATGGTTTATACTGCGTCAGACTATCCCAAATAATCTGATATGGTTTATACTGCGTCAAACTATCCCAAATAATCCGATATGGTTTATACTGCGTCAGACTATCCCAAATAATCCGATATGGTTTATACTGCGTCAAACTGCACCAAATAATCCGATATGGTTTATACTGCGTCAAACTATCCCAAATAATCCGATATGGTTTATACTGCGTCAGACTATCCCAAATAATCCGATATGGTTTATACTGCGTCAGACTATCCCAAATAATCCGATATGGTTTATACTGCGTCAGACTATCCCAAATAATCCGATATGGTTTATACTGCGTCAAACTATCCCAAATAATCCGATATGGTTTATACTGCGTCAAACTATCCCAAATAATCCGATATGGTTTATACTGCGTCAAACTATCCCAAATAATCCGATATGGTTTATACTGCGTCAGACTATCCCAAATAATCCGATATGGTTTATACTGCGTCAGACTATCCCAAATAATCCGATATGGTTTATACTGCGTCAAACTATCCCAAATAATCCGATATGGTTTATACTGCGTCAAACTATCCCAAATAATCCGATATGGTTTATACTGCGTCAGACTATCCCAAATAATCCGATATGGTTTATACTGCGTCAAACTATCCCAAATAATCCGATATGGTTTATACTGCGTCAAACTATCCCAAATAATCCGATATGGTTTATACTGCGTCAAACTATCCCAAATAATCCGATATGGTTTATACTGCGTCAGACTATCCCAAATAATCCGATATGGTTTATACTGCGTCAAACTATCCCAAATAATCCGATATGGTTTATACTGCGTCAAACTATCCCAAATAATCCGATATGGTTTATACTGCGTCAAACTATCCCAAATAATCCGATATGGTTTATACTGCGTCAAACTATCCCAAATAATCCGATATGGTTTATACTGCGTCAAACTATCCCAAATAATCCGATATGGTTTATACTGCGTCAGACTATCCCAAATAATCCGATATGGTTTATACTGCGTCAAACTATCCCAAATAATCCGATATGGTTTATACTGCGTCAAACTATCCCAAATAATCCGATATGGTTTATACTGCGTCAAACTATCCCAAATAATCCGATATGGTTTATACTGCGTCAAACTATCCCAAATAATCCGATATGGTTTATACTGCGTCAGACTATCCCAAATAATCCGATATGGTTTATACTGCGTCAAACTATCCCAAATAATCCGATATGGTTTATACTGCGTCAAACTATCCCAAATAATCCGATATGGTTTATACTGCGTCAAACTATCCCAAATAATCCGATATGGTTTATACTGCGTCAGACTATCCCAAATAATCCGATATGGTTTATACTGCGTCAGACTATCCCAAATAATCCGATATGGTTTATACTGCGTCAAACTATCCCAAATAATCCGATATGGTTTATACTGCGTCAAACTATCCCAAATAATCCGATATGGTTTATACTGCGTCAAACTATCCCAAATAATCCGATATGGTTTATACTGCGTCAAACTATCCCAAATAATCCGATATGGTTTATACTGCGTCAAACTATCCCAAATAATCCGATATGGTTTATACTGCGTCAAACTATCCCAAATAATCCGATATGGTTTATACTGCGTCAGACTATCCCAAATAATCCGATATGGTTTATACTGCGTCAAACTGCACCAAATAATCCGATATGGTTTATACTGCGTCAAACTGCATCAAATAATCCGATATGGTTTATACTGCGTCAAACTGCATCAAATAAGGCCACAGGCATCGACTCCACCCAGTCTATCATTATTTTAATTCATGGAGTGCTCCCCGCTCCGTTTCCTTCTTCACCTTCAGTATTTTGGATGAACGTGTTCACACCAAGTGCGGTTAATTTACTGTTTCGCCTCCGATCATTATTTAATAAAATAGAG